CATTGCATACATCTCTTCATGTAGATGTAGTTCCATTGAGGACTGCATCTTGCGTGTGTTTTGTCAGCCAGAAACATATCAGTTACTCCTGTTTCTTGCTCCTAAGTGTAGCTGACTCAAAGTTTATATTGATATGTGTCAGAAAATACAACCTTGTAACATATTAATCAGTTTCAGCAAATAGGTTTTCTTGAAGGTGTCTTCATTTTATTTGTTCATTTACCAAGTGACTTTGAGAATCCTGTGCATTGATGTGTGGGTTAGAGACTGATAGACTTTGAGGATGAAAGTGAGAATAAAAAGTTCCAGGTGTTGATAAATGAAACCAAGAGTTGTTAGTAAAATAATAACATTGTTCAAAAGACCGTTACTGAAGCTGCTGCTACCTAAAAGTAGTGCTTTAATTATTGAATGTTAACCAGCTTTGAAATTGCTAAAGTTATAAGAACCATATCAGAAAATACCATATTTTGCACTGGCAATCAGTGTAAATTCACATAGTAAATTAATCCATAACCATTGACTATTAAATAATCTAGAGTAGGTGAGTTTATATACTAGGTTAAATTTTCATTTTCATTTACAGATTATAGTTGACTGCATTCTATAGATAGTATTTTTAATGTACTATTGTCCTTCAGCCTAAGAGGTGATACAAATTAAGTCTGCATATGATTACAATCACCAAGCTGTAATTCTCGTCAACAATGAAGCCAATGAGTGAGTAGAATGAATACTGTGATTTATTTTTGTTATGGGGCAAGAAATGGTAGAGTAGGGGTGTCAAACTCTCAACGTCACATGACATGTCGTGACGTATCCTGACTTTTTTTCCATTGCTGGCAATGAGGTGGGTGCGGTTTTGCCATGACGTATCCGGCTCGCAGGCCGGCAGTTTGACATCTCTGTGGTAGAGTGATTTGTGGATTTCTCTGACAGTGTCAAGAATATCCACCAGTTGCTCTTGTTACATGGGCTAACGACAATGCAAACTCAGATAATTACTACAGCAGCAGGTTTAGATATCTTCAAAACCTAATTGGGGGTGGGGGTGGGGAGTCCTAGTACAGTAAAGCCAAAGAGGGTCCCCTCTCCTGTTTTACCAAGAGGCCCCTATTTGCCCCTAGATCCTCTGTAGTGCCTGATCCATGTCGGTGGGTGATATAGAGTCTAGACCCTCTGTTAGGCCACTTCCTTGGATCAGGCCTTGAGAGGGGGTCCTAGTAGAACAGAAGAAGCTCCATCTTATCCCAAAATCATCTAGTTTCCATGACAGTTGGATATTGTCTCTCATCTTCAAAACAAAGGAACTTTTAAACACAGGAGGGGGGTTGTTACATAATATAGAAAACAAATGCAGAACATTACCCACCTTCTTTTCCCAAAAATAAGAGACAAAAGATTTAGTTTGTAAAGCTAAACAGGAATATTTATGGAGCCAGAAAAAGGGGAAGATTATACATGCTGAAATCCAAAAATTTATTAAAACTAAAGCCAAACTGATTTTTTAGCTGAAATGAAAAACAAAGTCATGTTCTCTTTCCCACCCTTTTGAGAAAATGACTCTAATTTAATAAAAAAAAATAATTAAAGCTTGTTTCATGCAAACTAGAAGAGACTGGAAATGAAATCTTAAGAGACAGGCCTTACATTTGTTTCCTCTCACTCTAAAGGCTGGGAAAATATGTAGTGCTTCTTCACTGCTGTAACCTTTTTCCTGCTGCATATCGCCATATTCTGGAGTCGGGATTTAGCCTTCAGATAAGTTGCTCTCTGTATTTAGGTCAAATTAAGAAAGAGGCCAAGTAAACATCTGCCACCAACATTTACAAATATTGCACATCCCAATAGCTTAGGGCAGAAGAGTTGTACTGCTGCTGGGAGCGTAGAGAATACCTTTTTAATTTTCACTTGTTCTAGGCTATATATTTAATCCCCTGAGTTCACTATTAATGAGAACCCAAGCAGAGGGGTTATTGCACTATTCAAATCTCTTTGAATCTAAGAAAGTAAAAATGTTTTTCCCTCTTTATGTATCTAAAGGCTTCCAATTATGCACTATAGTTGAGGATCTGTGGCTGTCTAGATGTTGAGCTACAATTCCCAGCATTCTTTTTTAATAGTTAAAAAAAACAGAAAAAGCAAAAAGCAAAATACAACAGGGCTATAATACAAATGCGTACAAAAACTATACATAAAAATTGCTTTTAAAATGAAAATATACAGAAACAAAAAGAAAATAAAAATATAATGTATAATTATATCAAGTACAGTCCTATATATAATAATCTAAATGTAAATATTATTCAAGTACATATACAGTATATTAATTTCTAATACATGCATATAACTCATTCTTTAATCTACTGTATTTAGTATAAATGAATTCCATATTTCATTATACTTGTGTATATAAAATCTATAAGTAATTCACTCATAGAGGGCAAGCATAATCAGATTTTTAATCCATTGTGTGAATGGATTATATATTTATCTTTCCATTGTTGCAATATCAATTTTTTAACCAGAGTAATGACATGGAGAATCCATTTACATTGTCCAATTGTTAAATTATATGTACTAGTTATATAGTTCAAGAGAATTTTATCTTTAAAAAAATAGCTTTTACTGCAGTCATGTTTATATAATCCACTATTTTCTCTCCAAACATATTCAGTATTGTAAAAACATGTGTTTTAAAGAAGCATTATCTTTATTACAACTACAGTAAAATGCTGTCTTAGATAGTCCTTTTTGTATAAATGTAATGGTGAAAAAGCCTTCAGCAGAACAGGCTCAGATTTCCTTTGGAATTCATAAATGGGTCAAGATATTACATAATTTGCCTACATCTAAAATAAGGTTTAATGGCATTTTTCTCTAATTTTCCCACTATTTAGAGGAACTAGACAAGAATGTCCACTTTTGCAATGAAATATCTTCACCATGACTTTTCAATATCTGCGTGGAACTCTTGGCTGGTGCTATTAGACGATGTAAAGAGATCTATAGAGTACAAGTAGTCTTTGACTTAGGAACACAATTTTGGTTGTTCAGTGAGACATTTGTTAAATGAATTTAAGCTTATTTTATGACCTTTCTTGCCACAGTTAAGTGAATCACTGCAGTTAATAAGTTAGTAACCTGATTGCTAAGTGAATCTTGCTTCCCCATTGACTTTGCTTGTCAGAAGATCACAAAAGGTGATCACATGACCCCAGGATACTGCAACTGTCATAAATACATGCCATTTGCCAAGTATTTGAGTTTTGATCTTGTGACTATGGGGATGCTGCAAAAATCATAACTGTGAAAAATAGTCATCATTGCAACTTTGAACAGTCACTAAATGAACTGTTGTAAGTCAAGGACTATCTGTAGTACATAACTCAACTGAATATAAACTGGTTTTATTTGCAGACAATATGTTTTGTTTATTTATAAACCTCACACTACTATTCCAGGGTTGATGCTAATGATAAATACATTTAGTAAAATAGCAAGATACTTTAGTAACTGGTTTCAATTGGAATTGATGCCAATAGGTGAAAATTTGGTTACCCACACATTTAACTATCAATTCCATATTTATACTGAATCTATTAAATATTTAGGCATGTATATACTAAAACATAACTCAATTAATAACATATAATATAAATAATATATAGAGGGAGATTTGTTTCAGATACTAACTCCCAGGATTAGTTATGCTGACTAATTTCTGGGAGCTATAACTCAGTAAATGGCCACAAATTCACCTTCTCTCTAGAGGATAATAGCATTTGGCAATTAACTTAGAATAGAATCAGGACAGGGATTGGCAGTGGAAATGGCAAATTTTATTCTCTATCATTTTATTCTCTATGAGCTGTAGTGGCGCAGTAGTTAGAATGCAATACTGCAGGCTACTTCTGCTGACTGCTGTCCGTCTGCAGTTTGGCAGTTCGATTCTCACCGTCTCAGCATTCCATCCTTCCGAGGTTGGTAAAATGAGGACCCAGATTGTTGGGGGCAATATGCTGACTCTGTAAACCGCTTAAAAAGGTCTGTGAAGTGGTATATAAGTCTAAGTGCTATTGCTATTGCTATCAGGATGGTATATGCAGTCCGCTTCCCCTTAAGCTTTCAGAGCAGAGAGATATTGTTTATGCATTATGTTGTGCTTCCATATTAAAAGCTTTATATAACTTGGAATGGGGTGTTCGTATGTGTCTTTTTTTTAACACAGTGTATATTCTGTACTGAGGTTATTACCTAGTCAGTAATGAAACATCCGCAAGCAAACAACTAAGTTCAGAGAGCACCAAGGACTCCACAGTATATAGTCTATGTTTTCGGTTATAATGACCACCAGGAAGTACCATGTTATAGTAGCAATTTTATCCTTACAGGATCTGGATAGTTAAGCTAATGTCACAAGTGAAAGAGCAAACCTTGTCTATGCTGCTATCTCCTGTGCATGAGCAGTGCTATTATCAGAAAACATGAAAGGACTACAGAAAGATGGTAATAATTGCTGTCCAAAATACTTCCTTCAGAGTAGTAGCCTCTGTAAATCTGACACTTACAGCCAGAGGTGGAAATAGTGGCCCTCTAGGTCTTGTTTGGTGTGAGCTCCCATCAAAATCAACTAGTATAGGCAGGGGTCAGGTGGGTGGGAGTTATATATTGAACCTGAAGAACCTTCAACTTCAAAAATCACATCAAAAAAATCCACCTCCTTTTTTTATAAATTCTTATATATAAGATTGAGAAAAAGTTTATACATTGTACTATTCATCAGATTTTGACAAAACTATGTAACATCTATGGTTCATAAGCTCCATGCCATAGCTACAAATAATTCATCTAAGAATAACACGGCCCAGCTCTTTCACTATCAAACAGGGGAACTATCCTCTCAGTATCAGCCACATCACTCAACAGAATAGCCAACTTATAACAAGCCTTAAAGAATATTGGTAGACAGCAAACTAATGAGGAACAATAATTTGATGATGGATGAGCAGCTCCAATTTCAAGTAAGTAGCAATATACTGGTTATTAAGAACTGCTAAGAAAACCCCATCCTTTGGAATGCCAAGGATCATACCTTCAATACTATGCAAGAGAAGGTTAGAATAATATTTTTATACCTTTGAGAATCTCAGGCATCACAGGCTGCTCCAACTGTTTTTGCATTGAGTTGTTGGCAGTATCCAGAGTTAAATATTAACTCCCAATCTCTTCTGATTTCAGTGAATTTAAAATAGCTGCCATTCAGTTTGTATTTGTTATTATTTACTATAAGGTATGGGCATTAAGATATGAAAAGATTTATAAATAGATCTCTATGTGTGATTGGTAGTAGATAAGGATTTTAGACCAAATATTCAAAACTTGAAGTTTAACAGAACACTTTCTTTTACTTTATTCTGATTAAATGAAAAATTAGAGTAATAAAGATCTTTGTATGGAAGAACTATAAGCTGTATTTCATTTTAACTCTGTTGCACTAATTCACAAGCTCATAGAACTACAACAGTTGGATGAAAAGCACTGTTTCCATCTTCATAACTTTATTTTAAATAAGGATATGTTACCTTTCTACACAAGCTATCATTCACTATGCACTTCTGTCAATGATGGGCAAGCTTCCTAAAGCTATCACAAAAGAAGTCAACACTTTATCTCTTCAACCAAATCCAGATTTCACCTCTTTGAATCAAACAAAAGCCCACAATGGTATTGGTTCAGTTTTGAGAAAAGGTGTAAATCACATGCAATGTAACATTCTGAATTGATAATAATGCCAAGTTTTTAAAAAGTACCTTTGTATAACATCATCTGCATCCCAAAAATGGCGACTTGGGGTTTTCTTGCAAAACCTGGCTTTTGAATTTGAATGATCTGCCAACTGTCCTTAATCAGATTGTTAGCCCTTTCCATGTAAAACTTGTTGGTTGCTTTCAAAAGTTGCTTACTTCATTCTTGATCATACAAATCAGCTATTCGTAGTTCATTATTTTTATATTTTTAGGCCCAGCAATGCTTAGTATGTCAACTTAGTCTTCACTATACATAATCTGCATTGAGCAATTAAACTTTATTTAGCAACAGAGCACTAATGAGTAAACACTGCAGGCTACCATTTCATGAACAGGACAAACTTTTCTCACAGCAATTTCCCACTAACTGAAAGAACAAATGCTAGACAATAGGTCAGGGGCTTTAGTACTTCAGTACATCAATACTGTCAGCTGCTGTCAACTTAAAATGTTAGCTGCATTGCTTTTCATTCAACCATTGTAATTAATGCCATTACAAATGTACAGATATATGTGCGTGTAGGAAATGAGAAAAAAATCCAAAAGTAATGTTAAAATAATATCTTTACAATAACAACTCAGCCTTTTAAAAATAATTTATAAGCTTTTGAGGCACAAGAATTGATTACAAGGCAAGAGAAAAAACAAGCTAAGTGACAAGAGCCAGGCATTCTGCATAAGCCAGAGTTAAAATCTGGTCTGAAAATCACATTTTACATTCTGCACCCTAATAGCTTTTAGCTCAAATTGAGCCTTGCTCATTTTTTAAAGGTAAAAGAACTACTGTTCAAAGATGGGAATTAAACATTTGTCCTAGAGAACTCCTGCTAGGGAACTCCTGCACAGGGGTAATATTTCCAGGAAAAGAAAAGCTTTGTAACAGTGAAATGCCAGGGCCACACTGAAGAATCTATGTCACTACCTGTATTTTGTTTGACATGTATTGAAGAGCCTCATAGAGATACGTATTTCCTCCCCTCACTTACAGGAACAGGTTCCTTGGACCAATGAGCCTCCAGTCAGCACAGAATGGTATCAATGGGACTTTGAGACATTCCCATCAGATCTGCCAGAGTTATGTGAAAAGAAGGCTATCCGCATGGTGGCACGTATCTATCTTCCAGTCATGGTTGTCCTGTTCTGTGTTCTGGGCTTCCTTGGTAATGGGATTTTGCTGTTGGTTCGTGCCCGTTACCATCGAGTCCAGTTCCTTGGCGACATCCTGCTCTTACATCTGGCTATCTCGGACTTGCTCCTACTCTTGACTCTACCAGTGGGTGTGGCTGGAATGATGGGCACTTGGTACTTGGGCATGACTGCTTGCCAAGTTCTGCAAGGTTTTCATGCCCTGACCTTTTACAGTGGCTTTCTTTTCCTCATGAGTCTTACCCTGGACCGCTACATAGCCATAGTCTGGGTACCCATTGCCCGCCGCATGCGTCCCACTGCCAGTTTCTGGGGCAAGCTTTGTTCAGGGGTGATGTGGCTATTCTCAGCAGCTCTAGCAGTGCCCAATGTCATGTATGCTCATGTGGAAGACTACAAAGGCTTTCAGCTCTGCAGGGTAACTGTTGTCAGAACTACTGTTTGCTTCGTGCAAGTGGGCTTTGGTTTTGTGCTACCATTCATTATCATGGTAATCTGCTATGCAGCCATTACACGTACTATTTGGTCCTCTCCTTATGCCCAGTCACACAAGGCCTTGTGGCTCATTTTGGCCCTGGTTCTGCTGTTTTTGGTTTTGCAACTCCCTTATGCACTACTCACCTTATTAGATGCAGCGGATTTGATAGGCCAGCAGGCATCAAGCTGCACAGTAAGCCTTCAGCGTGATCTTGCCCTCCTCATTACCAGTGGCTTGGTCTTTGCTCGCTGCTGCCTAAATCCTGTGCTTCATACTTTCCTGGGTGTGCGGTTCCGTAAGGACCTGCAAAGATTAAGTAGAGAGTTTGGCTGCCTGGGGCATTGGGCATGCTGTAACGATAGACCCAGGAGTGGCAGCCGTCATGCTTCCTTTACTACCCATCTGGAAAGACTATCAAGAACACCATGAAAACATTAGCACTGCCCACCTCAGAAGAGTCTTGGAATGCTGGAAGACTGGCTTTGGCATTCAGGAAAATGTGCAAGTTTTACACAGTCTCTGCAACTTTTGAAAATAAAACTTCAACTTTGGATAATGCTAAAACTTGTTTGTTTGTTTGTTTGTTTGTTTTATTTTTATCACTACTTGCGTACTGGGCAGGTTATTTGGTCTGTGTGTCTGATTATGTGGAATGGGAATAATCCACAACTGAAACAGTTAGTGGTCCTGCCCAAATCTGGACCCAGACTGGAAAATATCTTCTGTAGCTCAACCCAGAAAGAAGGAAGAAGAATGTGTTCTGTTGAGCATGTAAAGGCTCAAAAAATGGGCTTCTGAGAGATTTCTAGTACTACAGTATATATTAGACAGTGAAATTAGTTCTTGGACTCAGGTTCAATTCTGCCTTCAGTTATTCACAGGATAACTTTGGGCCAGCCAGTCTCTCTCTCGGTAAAACCTACTTCATGGAATTTTTGTGGGGAGAAATAGAAGTAGGGGATTGTACACTATGAAATAAACAAATAAATACTACTTAATCCTCCTCCATTGACCATATTCCATTATTCCCCTCCTAAAGAGAACTCAAATGACTTTGGTTTTTTACTCAGTGGTATGGTAAATCAGTCTAGCAATTAAATAATACACATTCTGTTTAAATTCTAAACTCATTCTAGCTCTTGTTGAAGAGCAAATTTAATATGATAAACATCTCTGGTAGATTAATGATTTTGTATGTGCCACCATCTGACACTTTGTAGTGTTCAGCCCTTTGTATGTGTTCTGGTGCTATTAACGTCTTGAAAATGGGTCACCTGCTTTTGTTGATTTAGGAAAAAAAGTTTACAATATTTATAGTCTCTTAAATTAGGAAAGTAATGGGCAAGGAGTTATGCATATTCTGCAAAAAAAATAGTAGAGGACTTGGAGAAATGTGCTGTTATAATTAATTTAGGCAGTTTTCCAAGTTGACAGTACAATTCATGGAAAATAAGACTATAAGATTAACAATCTCTGATACTACCACCATCTTATTTTTCAACTAGCTACCAGTAACATAATAAGAGGCTATTCCTGCACTTGTGTCCAGATTTTGGACTTTGCTTGGGCATCTGATGGCTACCGAGGGGATAATGTTAGACTTTGTCATATAGAACACTGTTCTTCTTAGATTTTGCTTGTTTTTTTAATTTAACAGATAAAATATTTTTTAAAGTTAAAAGCCTATAGAAGAATCAATAAAGGTTTTAATTTCTCTTTATTTCTTTTCAGTTGGTAGGTGATCCTTTTCCACACTTCAGTTTTTGTTTGTTTTGTCAGAACATGGGATATGACCTTGGTCAGAAATGTGCCTTGGTTTGCTTGGCATGGATGCTTTCAGACCCAAATCAGAGCACAAATGCTACTCAAGTATTTAAAATATCCCTTTCTGAAACTACAGGTTGTTCATGTCTAGTCATAGCTCAGGATGTCTTCCACACAGAGATTATTAGTGTATGGTTAGCTAGATATTTTCTGGAAAAATAAGGCAAGATGTAGGACCAGCTGCACAGAAGATGGGATTCCTTCTAAAAAGAGAAAAAGAGCTGAGAAGATTAAGCTCTAGAGCCCACCCAGAACTGCTATGAACCCAGCAGAACCAGTATGCTTCTGGTGTTTTGATTTATCTTTTTGCACTGTACTTATAAACAGACAGATACAGACAAACTGCCAGATGACCAGCTCCCACAAAGTCAAAGAATCAGCCTGGCAGCAAAAAAAGCAGCAAACTGAAAAGGCCACAGCTCCTTCTAATCATGGTTCAAGTAAACATATTCATTTGAGGGGGGGAGGCAGAAAATGTTTCCTCTCAGAAGCAGAGGCTGTTTCATTGCCCACTATGTTACAGCCTATATAATGAAAAGTGACCAATATGTGCCAAAACAGCACAGTTCTGCTGCCTGCCTCACAGTATTTAGTCATTGTTGCTCTCTTCTTGGATATTAATAAATAGGGCTTACATGTGTGTGAAAGTGTTCCTGTTATGAGTTATTCTGTGCACCAAAAAGTATGGTAAATAATAGAAATGATTGAACAGTTTCAATTTCAGCTCTGCTTTTTATCTTCATTTTTGTCTTCTTTTGCTCTCCCTATTATGATGGAATCAGAGACCAGTCATTGCAGGTGCAAAGATGTCTCACTGCCTTTCACAGTGTTTATTGCTCTTATACAGTTATTCCAAGCAGCAAAAGATAACATAGCAACAGCACTTTTATTGGTGGATACTCCTTGTCAATCCTTAAGAATTTACCAGCCAGGGGCAGTTTTCTGCAACATCCTGTTGGTGTGAACTAGGTGAGATCATGTGAAGTAGGTGAGATCATGTAGGTGAGATCATGTATTTGAGCCGAAGCAGTGTGCTGCACACGAACTCTACATGACCTCTATCTCTACATCTCACTCTTTTTTGTTTTGTTAGATGAGACATCGTCGTAAGAAGGGTCAGTAAAAGGATCATAATCAGGAGAGGAACATCCTTGCAGTTGTTTATATAGGGCATAAACTTGACCCTGAGGCAATGTGGGAGAGGGTTTGGGGCGAAAAGCTGTGATACATATGTTGCAAAAGAAAGGAATACACTGAACAAAGCAGCACCCACCAATCAAAATAGTACAAATAATGACTAAATAACGTCGGACATTTCCCAATAATCCTGTGGGCAACCAAGCCCAAAGGACTTCCCACCAAGATCCTAAAGTATCAATTTTCAAATCAGAGGCCAAATTGTGTAAAATATTGAGCTGGTGCTGGATGGTTCGTGACCTATCCGAAATATTGAAACAACACATTCCCTCAAAACTTTCACAACCCAAATGCTGGCACAAAAGCAAATAATCAATAGCAGCATGATTTTGCAAAACAGCCTTTCTCAAAGCTTGCAGCTCATGGTTGATTGCTGAGATAGCTGAAGAAGTAGTATTAATTGTTTTTGCTAAATTACACACAACAGCATTAATATTGAGGTGAGCACGAACAGCAAGTCCTGGCACACTGGCACTACAGGATCGGATTGGTCACTGTACCGTCTGTAGTGTCATCCTTGCCATTTCTGGGACTGGATCCAGGGACTGGTGCCATGACATCCTTGGCTGGGCGAACGCAACGCGCTGGAATCCACAAAGGTCCTGTAGGAGCAAGCACAACAGCATAGCCTCGTCCCCAAGTGATCAGAGGGACCGGTCCCAGCCATGCTTTGTCTGGTAAAGCCCGATATATACCAAAGGGGGAGGCAAGCTTGTTTTCTGTTGAAAGTGTCTCTGATAAGTGGTCAAATTTTGAATGGAAACATTCAATTGGTTTAATGTAAATAATACTTTTTGAACCTGTTGTGTTACCCACGACAAATTGGGTACTCGATAGCCCTCCTTTTTTATTTGTTTGTGGAGGCAGTCCTTAAAGGACCGATTAGCACATTCCACAATGGCTTGACCCGTGGAATTATAGGGGAGACCATGAGTAAGAACAATATTCCAGGTTGTACAAAATTGCAAAAAAGGCCACTGAAGAATAGGCTGGCCCGTTATCAGTTTTTAAAGAAGAGGGCTTACCCAAGGCTGTAATGGCTGAAAAAAGATGAGAAATTACATGTTGAGCTGTTTCCCCTCTTTGAGGCGTGGCCCAAAGTGCTCCTCAATATGTATCAATAGATAAATGAATATATTTCCAGGGAGCCAAAGAGGGAACATGGGTAACATCCATTTGCCATAGTTGATTAGAGGTAAACCCATGGGGATTAACTCCCATGTCCCCCGAAGGAGATGCCCCAGAACATTGGGGATAGGATGAAACAATCTGCTTGGCTTGGTCAAGTGGAATATGACAAGCTTGTGCCAGCCCCCTAGCATTTTGATGAAAAAAAGAGTGACTGAAAAAAGGGTCTGAAAATAGAGTGGGGAAAACATGAACAGCGGCATCAGCATGACTATTGCCTTCAGAAAGAGGGCCAGGAAGGGATGAGTGACTGCGTATATGGGAAACAAAGTATAAATGCTTCCAATTTTGTAGCCATGAGATTGGGGTCAATCCTGGGCGTGATATAAGCACCTGGAAGATTAAAAATAAGTTGACACACATAATTAAAAGGCTGTTGAGAAAAGGTGTGGAAAGCTAGAATAGCAGCAGATAATTCTGAGCATTGCAGTGAGGATTGCACTGCAGTGTAGGACACTTTCCAGGTATCATCATGAGGATCCTTGTAAGCAATCGCTCCTCTCGTTCGCCCTCCATCGGAAAAAACAGTAGGAGCTTGCGGCAATGGAGAAGGAGAAAGCAGTGGGCGGACAGGAAAGGAAGAAGTCATTAAACAAGCAAGCCAAGGATCTTTAGGCAAATGATATGAAATACAGCCTATATAATCGGTTAAAGAGCACTGAAGAGATAAGTTATTCTGAAAATAAAATTGAAAATCAGATTTTGGGATAGGAAAAACAATATTAATTAAATCGGTCCCATTTCTGCAGCAAGCTCAAGTGCGTCCTAAGGTTATTAATTCAGCAACAGCCTGGATAAATGGCAAAACATTTTGGGATGGGGTATGGGGTAAATAAAGCCATGCAATACAATATACTTTTTGTGCTTCTAACACAACTAATACTCCTGTAGGTAGCTTACTAGTAGGAAATATCAAAAGGGTTAACTGACAATTTTTATGTGGAATTCGGTCCACAAATTGAGTACTCGAGATGTCATTAATTTGTTCAACCGTGGCAAGTGTTGCAGGTGGAACTATAATGAGATCTCCAGGTTGTTTTCCTTTGGTCAATAAGTCAAATAATGGACTAAGCAAATGTGTAGGTAAAGAAAAATATGGGCGAACCCAATTGAGGATGCCCAGCAATTGCTGCAAATTGACCAACAAAATAACTTTGGGTAAGCTCAAGTGAGGAAAAGCTGGAGCAGAATAAGATTGCAACATTTTATGCCCTAAATAAAGATAGGGAGAGTGCAACTGTATTTTTTCCGGGGCAACCTGCAATCCATAAAGAC